AATTTCTGTAAAAATGTTAAGAGGAAAATCTTAAAAGTAGCTTGAGGAAAGAAATGATGGAAAAGAAAACAAGTATTATAATAAAATAATGTCAACCAAGAATTTTATATGAAATATATCCATCAAAGTATATCCATCTAGATAAATATCCATCAAAAATTAAGAATAAATATTTTAGACAAAAGCCAACATTTAGACAATGTGCCATTAGCAGCTCTGTACCATAAAATATACCGAAGGAAAACTTTCAAGTGGAAGGAAATGGAATCAGACAGAACTACACAAAGGCATAAAGAATACCAGAAATGTAAAGAGAAACATAAGACTTTCATCTTCTGCATTTCAAAATCTTTAAAATTTAACTGACCATTTTTAGAAAAAGCAGTAGCTAAACATATAAACATGCATTTTTTATTAAGCACTCCAAGTCTGCTGAATGCTAGTACTCCAAAAGAAGAAAAGTAAGGGGAAAAGAAGAGATGGAACACATGAAAATAAATAGCAGGATGGCAAACTTAAATTGTATCACACAGATAATTAAGTTAAATATAAATGGATTAAACACTTTAATCAGAAGGTACAGATTCTTAGATTGTATTAAAAAAGAGTGCATACTATCTAAGAAAGTGTTAAGGACACAGACATGTTAAAGTAAAAGCACAGAAAACAGTACACTGCAACCAATAGTTAGTGTCTAAATCTCACTATCAAAAAAAAAAAAGTGTATGGGAAGAAGGTGAATGACCAGGGTGGTTCAGAGTTCTGAAGGTTCTACTGAAACATCCTAGAAATCAGAACAAGAAGAAAAATTGAAAGGTTTCAGTATAAAAATTAACAGGTGGCTAGACTAGGATAACATGCAACAGATTTAAAAAATGCAAATTCTTCACAGAAAATACAGGTAGGGATAACATTTGATTGAAAACCCAAAGAGGAGAAAGGGAACAAAAAAATATATACACGTATAGTCACATTTTCATAGGAAGAAGGAAAACACTGAGACTGACCTGTAGCTAGAATGTTTGTGTAGCTAAAAAAGAAAAGAGAGACAAGGCCTTGGAAGATATGTTTTCAGTTTCTTTACTGTGTTTAATGAGTTGCTTTTTAGACATTAAGCTGAATTTCATTGCTATCAGAAAAGACCAATCTTAAATAGCCTTTGGTAGGTAAACCTGGGGTAAGACAGATGCTCAGCATACTAGAGAACAGGGCTGAGACCAAGGAGACACCTGGAGAATGGCCCTGTAGGTCAGATAAAAAGACCAATATCTTTTAAGATACCTGTATGTCAAACAGAAGGACTAGTGGAAATCTGTAAGCAGTCTGTGAAGAAGTGGCCAGAAAGTCTAAGCACAGACTTCTTGGAACCATCTCCTTAAGCTATCAGCTTTATGGAAAGGTATGGGCAGAAGGTCTAATATGACCCCAAAGTCTTTGCAAGCCCTCCTACCATTTTTAGCTGACTTCCTAGCAAAAGTATTTCTCCAAATGTGTGAATTTATCCCAAGATATTTAGTGGACAAACCCTCTCTTTGTCCTACTGTCATCAAAGCAGGTTTCCTCTGGCTTAATGGATTCTTCTTGGTATGCATTCAGTGTCTACTTTGATTTTGGCTTCTTATACAAACACAATGAACTGGTCATAAATTTATTTATGTGATTTTTTTTACACAATTCACTTCCAATTGACACTGGTGTTACCAAATGAAACAGAGAGACAGACATCATATCATATATGCAGTTCTGGACAAACATGGCCTATTATAAATCCTTTCTTGCCTTCAAGCCTGCAACAAGCTCTAATCTAGTACACAATTGCATATCCTACCCCACCCCCTTCAAAATCACCCCATCCAGACAAATTGACCTTCATGCACATATAGAGATGCCAAGGCTGTGACCCTCAAAGCCTGTGAACTTGCCAAGAATACCATCTTTTATCGCAAGAGGTTCCTTCTAATAACTCGGGCCTTAACTCAAATGCCACTTCCTTAAAACCTCTTTATTTGCTAGCCCTGGTAGTTTCCTCCAAACATTTTCACTAATGAAAACTTCTCTTTTAAAGTTGCTTGTTTTTCTTAGAAAAAATCTGATCCAACAGTACAGGGCCTTATCTCCATTGGTTACCCCTAAATTTCCAGTGTCTGTAGCAGCTCCTAGCAGCATGTAGGACACGACATGATGTATTATGGAACAATGGAATCAATGTGAGCCAGAGTGGTGTGTTATATGGAGCAAGCTTCCTTTTATGAAGCACATAGAATGAATATTTGGAACTGTCTGTCTCCTGTCAGATAACTTCACTATTACAACTTAGAACTGGTTGTTATCACCATCATTTTCCAGAAAACAAAGAATGTACAATTCCATGTACCCAGGTTAGAACCAAAAGATCAGCTGACAGTAATCACTGTGCAGGCTTCATGGTATAGATGTATGTTTTTGTAGCTACCTTTAAATCATACTATCTACATAGCATATCAGAGCCTCAGTGCATAAATACATATATCATTTTTTCCTGTTACACACACACACACACACACACACACACACACACACACACACACACACACACACACACACACACCACACACACACACAGCGCACCCACACCACACACACACACACACACACACCCCACATACACTCAGAGGTCTCCCAAACCACCCACCTTTAATGGAGCATTTTTTTCTTAATTGCCATGATTAACTGTTAAAGTCCTAGAGCTACAATTCTAAAAGAACTGTTAATTATCCTTCCTATATAGAAATAGGAGAAGCCCTTACTGTACTAGCTCACCCTGGGGATTTGGTTTCAGCACTTTAGCTTCTGGTGGCTATGTGATGGCCACCCATAGTAACAGAGCACTTGAACACACAGAGGTAATTTAAAAGGTACTCATGAAAACAGGAGGGAAAACTCCTGATTTCATGAAAGGAAGCTAAACTCTGCCCAATTATCAGGTAAAAGAGCTTATCCTAAATATAGGAAGATCATTTAAAAATGATAATACACATGAATCTCTACTGTAGTTAAAAATAAAATGACCACTGACACCGAAGACAACTGGATCACTTAGTCTCTGTGTTGCAAACCTTTCCACTTTAAAATGATGGAATATAATCTAGAAAAGAATCCAGATGCTGTGTTAACAGTGACAGTCACAAGTGTTCATTGCCTTCTAAAATAGATATTTGGAGACCAAGGTCAAAGCAATTCCATACAGAACATGAAAGTCATTGGACATGGAGGGGAATGTTGACCTTGAACATAAATCACTTTTATTCAGGATAGAAGAATTTTCTATGGTTTACTAGTACCTATAACTGCGAAAGAAAGCTGAAAAAACCACCACAGGGAAACAAACCAACTTTTAAGACAAACAACACTGTCTTTCTTTATATGGGACACAAAGGCCAGGGCTATCCATGCCTAGAACCCAAAGGCTTTGTAAAGGTTAACTGCAAATTTCATATTGGGCCTAGCCAAGTCCATGTATGCTGCAGCTGTTTAATAAACATATGCTATGAAAAATCATGTACAACAACTGTATGTATTAATGTATAATCATTGATACTTCCACATATGTGTTTACTGCAGTATTATTCTTAGAATCAGCCCGAGTATTCATCAACAATAAATAAATAAAATATGGTATACAGACACAATGGAGTTTTATTCAGCAACAATATAAATTTTACCTAAGCTACTTATTTGAATTGACTACATGGAATTACAAACACTAAGGGACCCAAAATAATCATTTTATTTTTACTTGAAAGAACAGAAATTGAGAGTTGAATTCAACAGAGACATAAAACAACTTATAAAAACTAGTGAATAATTTGGTGTATTTTATACTTTCCTGGACAAGTATTATCTTTCTGTGGCAGCAGGGCAGGAAGAGGCAACAATGCCACTCAAAAGGTCCATCTGGGCCGGGCTTGGTGACACATGCCTTTTATCCCAGCACTTGGGAGGCAGAGGCAGGCGGATCTCTGTGAGTTTGAGGCCAGCCTGGTCTCCAGAGCGAGTGCCAGGATAGGCTCCAAAGCTACACAGAGAAACCCTGTCTCTAAAAACCAAAAAAAAAAAAAAAAGATAAAGATTGGTAGTTTCCAAAAGCTTCCAAGGGTGCCTCAAACACCTAGAATACCTTAAATACCAAAATGAGAATGTGCAGTAGGGATATCTTCAGGGCATGCTGATTTAGGTTTTATCATCAAGTTGATACAAACCTACAGTTACCTAAGAAGAGGGACTCTTTATAAAGAATTGCCTCAAACAAAATGTCCTGTGGTCATGTTTAGGAGAGATTTTCTTGGTTGATGGTTGATGTTGGAGGGGACCATCCTTAGGCACGAGGGCCTGAGCTGTATAAAGTGTCTCGCTAAGCAGTGAACTAGAGAGCAGGTTATGAACACTCAAAAGACATCTGGTCCCAATGGGTGCTTTCAGCTCCCTCTCCCGCACAGTGATCTCCTGGTCTCCCCATTTTCCTTGCCAGGCACCTTGTTTTCCTGGCACTGTGTGTCTAAGTTAGGCAGAATCGTTTTTTGGGCAAGTAGTTCAATGACACTAGCATATATCAACTTCTAGAACTTACACACTTCTTCACTATCTTGTACCCCTACCCATGGGCTTTCCAGCAGCACAGCAGACACATTCTGCGAACACCTTGACTTACCGAAAAGAGACACACAGGGATGACTCATCTTGTTTTAGAACAGTTCCAAGAGATTAGTCCAGTAGGGAAGGTGTCATCTGTTGGATTGAAATAACTTGGGTGAATAGAAGGAGGCTCATATGTTTATCTTCCAGGAACCTGTCCTTTTGGTAGTGAGTGCTCAAAGGTAGGACAAGCTGTGTAACTGAACTGGAACCGCCAAGGTCTGGATGTGCCTCAGTGAGTCCAGGGTACAAGTATTACTGAGTGAGCCCTGAGGCTACAGGTGCTCCTGACCTTTATGTTCCCAAATGAACCTGGTAGGCCAGGAGGTCAGCAAGAGGCTCATAGACCCATCTTATACTGTGAAATCTGTCTGCTACTTCAAAAGTACAGAATCCTAAAAGTTCAAAAGTGATGACTGTCTTACCAGGAATGTCTGTTTCTCTTGCGATATTTGTGCCTGTGTTTCTGTATGTGTGGGTGGAAAGGCATCTATTTTATCTCTCATTTTGCCTGGGTACCTGTCTGTTTGTTTAGGTTTCCCTCTTTATTCCATTCTATAAAAAGCCAGAAGGTAGATCAGAAGGGGATTTTGTAGTGTTTGTTGTGTTTAACTGAGGAAAGGTTTATGTTCCCATTTCTCTAAGAATATCCACCAACACCTTTCTACAACTCAAAATAAATTGTAACTATACAATTAATGAGGTTACAGTGTCCGGATATAAAATATTCCGAACTGGAATAGTGAAAGGCTGTACAGCTGCCCAAGAGCCATCCAAAGAACCCAGACAGTTTTGGAAGGGCTAGATCACTGTGCTAGAAACACGACTTATGATCCTGTGAAAATTCTACTGGTAGAATAGTAGGTCTGGGTGGGTGTTACAGAATTGGCATCTTTCAACATTGGGCCTGTCTAGAATTTGGACAGGTTTCCCATCCAGGAGTTTCCTTCTGAGGCTATGCTGGTGATCAGACTTTGGGCAAGAAAACTAACACTTTTTAGCAGATTTTCTAAGGGGTCTATCATTGACAGAAGGCTAGAAATCACTGCCCCATGATACTCTGAATACAGATCCAGGACCACTTTGGGGCAATGGACCAGACTGTGTCAGACACTGTGAATGTTGTTTCTATAACAAGGTCCTAATGGGAGAAGGGATAAGCAAGTGGTCCTACCTAGGAGAGGTGCTTTAAAACGGTCCCAACCGGAAAATTTCTCCTAAAGGAAAATGTAGTGGCTGAGGTTTAAGGGAAAATGTTCCACTGGCCAAGGAGACTGGAGGGAGCTGCCTGTCTCTGAGTCCAAGGCTGGCTAAAGGGTGTTGGCTGGCACAGGGTGAGCCCTCTGGGATGTGGGCCAGAAATGGGGGGGTGGTGGTGAAAAGGACCATGGGCTTTGGGCAGTAGGAAAGAGGGAGTATTCGTGTGTGTGAAAAGACATGTAATTAATCACCCAAATACAGATTGGAGGAACCACCAAAGGAGTTTAGAAGGGGGCAAATGGAGTGGTGCCAGAAAATGTGCCTCTCAGGAGAGCCACAGTAGAAGCTCTATTCGTCCAGTAATGACCCCCTTCTACACTCCCCAGCTCTTAAGCAACATACCTGCTCCCATTATCCTCATGCAAC